AGTAGTTGCGCATTTCTTCGTAGACAAGAAATTGAATAGCTCCGTTGCTCATGTTTATGAGAGCCGGCAGGAAACCGCGGTACAAGCCTTTTATGCCCTCCAGTCGCCACAGTGAGACCAGGTTGCCCCAGGTAGTTAGAGTCGGAACTCGTTGAGTAGCTAGGGTTTCGTATTGCAGACACATCCGCGTCTTCACTACCCAAATCGGATTTGTCATAGACAATACAAGACTTCCTACAAGGAGAACTTTTAATTAGCGAGCGAAAGTTGGAGTAAATGAAACGTTGAAACAGCAAAAACTGATTACACATTGGTCGGTAACCAAGTATTAATAAGGATCAGGACGTGATCCGTTGATGCAGACAGCAAGGCCAGGTAGCATGAAAAGTTTATGAATTTGACTGGGATCAAATTTTCCCCTCCCGAATTTCATAGGCTGATACGAGGCTTTATTAGGCCATTCCGAAAATAAACATGTCCTTACAAAAAAACTCTTTGGTATTCAATAAAGCATGTGAGAGCCATCTATATTGGCGTCTTGTCAAAGACAACAATCGCATCCTTTCTTTCTAAAATGATATCAGTCTAAAGGGTGAGGGCTGAAAGGGAGGTTCTGTTTCGTTAGAATGCAGCAGGCTCGCTGGAGACGTGGTTAAAAGTCCCTGAGGTCTGGTTGTGGTGATGCTGATGAAAACGTTTTTGTTAACATTTACCCGACAAAAAAGCGTATCCGAGATATTCCGTCTTCTTCAGCCTACGCGAGGGGTCCCCCTCCTGAGCATGGTTCTTTATAGCCCCATAGCTGTGAAGCAGAAAAAGTAGAAAATGACATTTTTATGAAAGAAAATATGAAATGAAAAAGCCGACATCATGTTAGGTATACAAACGGTAAGGAGAAAGGCGATGCAGTTAAGGCTGCGGACTAGTTTAATTTACTATGGATATATATAACTTCCGAAGTATTTGGCCGCCACACGGCTCTATGCACATTCACTGAGTCCCCAACTGGAATAACAAACCTTTGCACATCCGATGGACTATTTGCCATTAAAAAATCGACGGCAACTAAACCGTTAAAATAGGTAAGCCAGATCACAGGTACAACTTAGTAATGGATCACTAAAAACAGATATCGACAGTTTGATCGGCGTTGCCGAGGATATCCACCGTGTGTCTCATAGCAGGATGGAAGTAAGGAAGGTGGCTTAAACGTCAAGTAGTTTACTGTGATAGTCGACTTGCGCAGCACCCAAAGAGCTCACCCCACACACATATCGGCCTCGTAAAAGGACAGAGTTAAGGAAGCGAATGGCGGGACCTGGCGCAGGTAGCTGTTAGGGCGTGAACTCGCCCCTAGGCCGCGCACAAGGAACCAGAAACTCACAAAAGGGAAGGAGGGAGGAC